GGGAAAGGAGGAGGAGGAGGAGGAGGAGCCGCTACAGAGCTGCGCGCGCACGCCTGCGTTGACTCGCGCAGGCAGGCGTTTCCTCAGGGGAGCGCGCACGCTAGCGTCCGGGCCGGGGAGGGGCGTGGCTCCCTCACCAACGGTTCCCTCCCTAGTTGATCGACCAATCAGGACCCTGGAAACGGCCGTGGTGGTAGAGGCCGTTGCGCGGCGCTGGATTGGCGACAGAAGCTGCTCCACGAAGGAGGAGGCGGGGCCCGCGCGGCAGCGGGGGCTCCCTATTGGCCGAGGTTTCTGGGCGCCGCGGGGACCGATGGGAGGTTGCGTTTGAATCGCCCGGGCGTTAAGGTTGTAGCGGGCAGAGTCGGAGCCAGAACTCGGAAGACAGTCGGGCGGGTGGTAAGTGAGGCCTTGCCCCCCCCTTTCCCCTCCCCAGTACTACAGCTCCCATCAGCCCCAACCGAGGAGCGAACCTCTGAGGTAAGACGGGGGTGGAGGGAACGATGCCCGCTGTAGTCCCGCCGATCCCTGAGACGCTCCTGCGGTGCAGGATTGGAGCCTCTTCCTTCATAAAAAGGCCTTCCGTAAGTCCTGTGAGGGATGAAGGGAACTGTAGTCCCTCCAGAGAGAGTGGAGTCCGGGGGGGGAAAAACGCGCCATCGCCATCACGCTCCATCCCTGCCACTTCCTTTCCCTCCCCCCCTTGCAAGGGCTGCGTTTGCTCCAGGATCCGCTTCTCTCGCCTTTTCTTTCTGCGTACACGTGTAAAAGCGCACGTCTGTATCGTCGCACGAAGCACGCGCACGCACGTTACTGCTGGGGGAAAAATGGCACGTGGAACGGCGAACGGGCTTGGGAGAAGCTGCTTTCGCCCCGAGTTAAACGTGGGAGAAATGCGTACACGTGTAAAAGCGCACGTCTGTATCGTTGCACGAAGCACGCGCACGCATGTTACAGCTGGGGGGGAAATGGTACGTGGAACGGCGAACGGGCTTGGGAGAAGCTGCTTTCGCCCCGAGTTAAACGTGGGAGAAACTTGGGAGCCTTTTTTTGGGGGGGGGGCGGCGACTCCAGACGTTTTAGACCACGAGTCCCACCAACACGTGTAAAAGCGCACGTCTGTATCGTTGCACGAAGCACGCGCACGCATGTTACAGCTGGGGGGGAAATGGTACGTGGAACGGCGAACGGGCTTGGGAGAAGCTGCTTTCGCCCCGAGTTAAACGTGGGAGAAACTTGGGAGCCTTTTTTTGGGGGGGGGGCGGCGACTCCAGACGTTTTAGACCACGAGTCCCACCATCCTGTATCACTGGCAGCCCAGGCTGGGGATTCTGGGAGCCCTGGTCCGGAGCACCTGGAGCGGCCAAATGTGCCCCCCCCCCGTTCAAATGGTGAAGGACGCCGAATGGGTCTCATGAAGCGGAGCCGTCAGTTTGAAACGGGTGGGTGTCCCTCGGTCCAGGCTGGCCTCGGGCGGCAAGAGCTCCCAGCAGGCAGGCAGGGAGGCCTGGAGCCCCTTTGGAGGGTGAAGCAAGAAGAAGTCCCCCCCCCCCACTTTCTCTCTGGCCAGAGGCCCAAGAGAGGCTGGGCCCTCATGAAGGTAGTGACTGGGGAGTAGGGAAGAAAGTGCAGACCAAGTTGGCCAGGCCAGAAGAAGGAGGTGGGGGGTGGCTGATGCCACCCCACCCGCCATGCCCAGAGAGCGGGGGGCTGGCAAGTGATGAAGCAGGCCCAGGAGCTGATCCCGCCTTGGCCTGCTGCCCAAGGGCTCCGTCCTGACCCCTCTACTCAGCTTGCCCCCCCTTTACCTTTTGGGAGGAATAGACAGGAAGGAGCCCCCCAATCTGCCTAGCCCAAGGTTGTCGTTCCTGGGGGGAGGGGGTCCCCTGGCAGCCTTCCTTCCTTGCCCTATTACTGCTTCTGGGGACTCTCATTTGGCTTTTGAAGCCAGACAGGATTGGCCCACGTGCAAGGGGGGTGCATTGTTAAAATGATGTGAAACGCCTTCCTGATGTCAGATTGAAGTCCGTCGATTCGTTTGCGTACAGATTGTCCTGTTTGTCCTAAGGAGGATGCAGATGGATGTTGGCGGCAGAAAAAAAAACCCCGGCATAAATAATCCACGGAGTGTTAGTGGTTGTTTGAGATTGGAGGGTTGGCTATAAGTCAGTGTGGGTCTGCCACCAAGGGCTTGGGCAGGTGAAGTCTTCTGGTTGAGGGTGGGTTGGAGATCACTTGTGACGCGTGGTCTCAGTTGTGGGCTGAAAGTGACAACTTGTGGCATTCGATGATTTTCCCCTTCTGGATCTATCCTGTGGTAGGTTGCTTCTGGGTGTCTTGCTTTATTAATTTGTTCATTAACCAAATCAGGTAGGCATCGTAGTCTTTTGCAAATCCTTGAGTCTGGAGTCTCTATCTTGTGGGTCTGAGCAGAGGCATTTGTATCTGAGGGCTTGGCTATAAGCAGTGGTTTTTGTTGTGTGTTCAGCATGGAAGTAGGTGTATCAATCAGTGGGTTTCTGGTATAGCGCGTGGTGATGAGGTGTCCGTCTTGTAGCTTTATGTTGTAATAATGTCTAGAAAATGTGCCTGTTCTATAGATTGCCCCAGGGTGAGGCTGGTGTTTAGGCAAACATTACTCACATCATGCTGGGATTTTCCATGGGTCCAGATTAGAAAAACATCATCTATGTGCCTCAAATAGAGGAGTTTTGGGGTACAGTGATTAAGAAAGTGTTGTTCTAGGTCAGTCATAAAAATGTTTGCTTCTTGTGGGGCTATGCGGGTGCCCATCGCAGTTCTGTGGGTCTGCAGAGAAGTGTATGTGTGAGCACAATGTCACAGAGTGGGGTGGTTATGTGGGCTTCCTCCTTGTTTTGAATGGTATTTGTGGCAGCCCATGGTCCATCTCTGTGTGGGATGTTGGTGAAAAGTGCTTCTACATCCGTTGTAGGTAGCATGATGATGTCCGAAAGATTGTGTGGAGACTGAAGTTTTCTAAGTCTGGTCTCTCTTATATAGCTAAGTGCGTTGGGGGCATCTGGTTTGAGGACGGAGTCCAAGTACTATATCCTGATACCCCAACAGTCACAGTATTGATGCTTGATTCAATGGGGTTTCCAGGCTTAGGTAGTAGGTAGGAGTTGGCGGTGGGATGTTGGTGAAAAGTGCTTCTACATCCGTTGTAGGTAGCAGGATGATGTCCGAAAGACTGTGTGGAGACTGAAGTTTTCTAAGTCTGGTCTCTCTTATATAGCTAAGTGCGTTGGGGGCATCTGGTTTGAGGACGGAGTCCAAGTACTATATCCTGATACCCCAACAGTCACAGTATTGATGTTGATTCAATGTAGTTTAGGCTTATGTAGTTTAGGTAGTAGGTAGGAGTTGGCGTTTTGGGGTTCTTGTGCAGTGCCAGCCAGGATTTGTGCATATCTGCTGAAGTAGACTTGTCTACGAAAGCACTCATTAAAAAATATAGATGTTAGCCTTTAAGGTGCCACCACCTTTCAACAGGATCATCAGGAGGCTTAGGTTCATCAGCCGGGTCCAGCATATGGGCAGTGGAGAGATCCTTTGTCTGCTAGGAGCAGGGGATCCATCTGTAGCCAGGCTGGGCCATCGTTTGCAGCAGCCGGCGTCAGTCCTGGAGGTGATGTCCGTGTTTTTACACAGTCTGCGTGAGAGAAGGACCTGGGAGGGACCTTCCAATGAGGGTCTAGGCAGGAGGCATGCCTCACAGGCGCCAGGCCTGTAGGGGATGCAAAGGACACCAGAAGAGCCATGGCAACCTTTAAAAGGGAGGAGGGGAATCTAAGAGAGAATTAAGGCAGTCCTGAGACCATGGGTCGGGTTTGATGGAGGGAAACAACAGGAACAGGAGAAGAGGATGTCCTGGGGTATCCCATGATCATCTCATAAGGAGACCGCTCATGTTTCTTGCAGGCAAATGCACACAGGGACGTACAGGAGCACCACTTGGCAACTCTGCCGGCCATTTCAGTCCCAATTCCACAGGCACGTCTTTGCAAGTCCTCACTTAAGATTAGCGTTTTCCTCACTTCCCAAGACCGGAGCTCTGTGGATGATAGGAAGTGTGTGGTGGAAAGGGTTTGTTTGTTTGTTTGTTTGTTTATTTATTTATTTATTTATTTATTTATTTATTTGGC